AAAAAAAAAAAAAAAAAAATTATTAAATCATGAAATAAATAAACCCATTAATTATTCTTACCTCCGCAACAAACCCACATCACCAGAAATGGAAACCAGTGTGCAAAAAATCCACCGCTTTCAGAGCTGAAAACAAATGACCTGAAATTTCAGTGCATTTGCCTGAAACTCGCGCATTTCGATTTTTTATTTTTATTTTTTCCCTCAATGAATCTGCAAAAAAAATAAAAAAAAAAAAGTGACAATTTTTACGGAATCAAGAATCAACAGTTGCCATATTTATGTGGGTTCAAAGCAAAGAAGAAAGAACAAAACTTGAGAGGCAAACCCCAAAAAACTGACCTGTTTCAACTTGACTGTTTGACAAATTTGAGAGTAGTGACAGTGAGACAGCCGAATTATATTTAACTATTATATGGAAAACGTATTCTGAGATTAATTGAAAAACGTATTCTCATAATACGTTTTTCATGTAATATAAAGTGGTGGGCACTGTCCACCGTGGACAGGTGAACGGGACTAACTATTTATATCATAGAACCAGAAAAGGAAAAAATATATATATATATATATATATATATATATATATATATATATATGAGTATAAAATAGGAAAAATGGTTCATGCGGCCTAAACAGTAATTTACAATGACAATGGATCTGGCAACATAATTACAAACATGTATGCATATGGTTGACAATTTTTTTTAGTCGGCCTAATTGTAAGATGGGTCGGTTTTAGGCATTTTAACAAAAAAAATAAATGTATTTATTGACAATTTTGTGTGTTGGTCTAATTATTAGACGGGTTGATCAGTTATACATTTTGAATAAAGATACATTATTTATATTATAAAATGTCGTACTTTGTTTGTATTATTGTTTTGAGTATAACATTTTAACTTGATAGTATGTAAATTTATTAAAAAGAAAATATGGCAAATGGTTAAACTTATAGCTTAGGTCTTCACACGAGGACTTTGTGCTGTTAGGACCAAACAACTCAATAATACAAACAACTACTCAGCCGAATAAGTCAACTACTCAGCTGAATCTAGTTGGGAGGACAAACCCCATAGACAACTAGCCCGAGACAGCCTAGAACCAACCAAAACACAACACACTAAAACTAAAAACTACAAACATACAAAAGCTTCCAACAAGAGAATAACACAACCCCAACATGAAATACACAATTCTCAAATGAGAGAAAAAACACATAACAACAACGCACAAGAAAACAAAGAAACAACAACACGCAAAACACAACTAGAAGAAAAATCACCAGTCAACCACACCAAGCTAACTCACGTCGACGCCAACAGACATCATCAAACGGACAGAGCTACGGCCCCGGAGCCCCAACCAGAAACTGCCAAACACAACGCCTAATTGGGTCGACAGTCAAAGAGCACAACCCATGCCCAGACGAACACCCGAAACTCGCACCTGAAGACCCTTCACACCACAACCACCCAGAACGAACCGGCAAAATAGGGTCAGACCCAAAAAACCAGTCCTCGGCCCAAGCTCGCCGGTCAGCTCCTCCGCCCAACACCAGGAGGAACATGGTGGCAAGTGACAAAACCCTCCACCCCGAACCCCAAAGAAGGAGGAAAATAGGGCCACGGCCTACCTCAAAGGAACACCAGAGGCTCGCCCAACTCTGCGAAAACACTGGCTAGTCCGCCGCCCTCCTCCCATCCTAGCAGCCTAAGAATCGGCGAGACCTAATTAGGGAATTGGGCACCGCCTGCGCCAGCAAAAAACCACCTCCAAGTGGCGATTCGATTGAAAAACTCATCCTATCTGTAAAGTTATATACTTATAAATTAAATATGGTTTCAATGTACTATTCATTTACTGTAGAATACTTCAACTTAGCTCATATTTATAATCTTGTTCTGATGTCATCAAAATGGATCTATTGCAGACTATTGGATAAATGAAAACAGAATGAGGCTGTAGTCATGAACTAATGAACATCTTTTATTCATGAACAAATGCACTTATTACAATTTGAATTTGCATAAACTAGTGCGAGTGACTGAACAGCTAAACACAAGAAGATTCTGGAACGGGCTGAGTTGATTTTCAAGTTTGCTGGGCCTGATCCAATATAAGTTCAGGCCTTATGCGTCTACTGGATCCTATATCAGATCTAAAATTAGGAATGTCATGTAGGTCAGGTCTAAGACTAGTTTATGTATAATGAAAAAGCCCAAATGGGCTAAAGCCCAGCAAGAGACTTACAAGAAAAGATTGGACCGAAAATAAAACATGTATAGAGGCGTAAATGAGCTGAGCGAAGGTCGGAAAGTCTTAACAAACCGAGCTGAGTCAAACTCAAGCTCGGCTTCTTAAGGCACTAAATAAAGCTCTTTGAAGCCCGAAATATCCAACGGTTCCCTTCGAAAAAAAAAAAAAAAAGAAAAGAAAAAGCCCGGAAGCAAAGCATTAGACAGGAAATAAATAAACAACAATGATAAAATAAATGGAAAAACTAACTTTGTAAATACAGGTTCAAAATAAAAAATATACACTACCAATAAGAAAAAAAGACCGATTCCTTACAGTAGGAAGTGCCACAGCAAAAAAGCTCGAGAAATGGACCCTCAGGACTTGGACAGAATAAAAAAGGTGCATGAAAAAAAAGAGTCGTAAACTATACACACAAATAGGTGTTGTAAAGAACTTAAGATAAGAAATTTCTATAAAAGACAGAAAGAGGTGTAAATAGTAAATACTCAATCTTCTTCTGATTCTGATTCTGAAGTCTGCACTTCTTCCGGAGGAGCTTCGATTACGGAACCATTTCCTCGCCTTTGCCTCGGGTGGATTATTTCTTGAACCGCATTATTAGCTATTTAACAAGAAAAAAAATATCAATAGGTGCAATAAAACTTTCTAATTTAACATTATAGTAGTTAAGATTGTCAATGTTGTTTGTTACTTAACTATCGAAATTACAAATACATCTTTACGTATCACATTCACAAATCGCAAGTATCAATGATATAACTGTAACTGTGAGCATTAGTTCCAAGTTATTCTTACACTTAGAAGTTCTGTTCTTTATCTTTTTATATCCTAGATATAATGCAATACCATCAAACGAGAACAGGCACCTGATGATAAAATCTTTAGAAGGAGCTTCCTTGCAATCAGGAATTCTGTTTCATGGTTACTGACAAATTTTGCCTATGGGAGCAGAAAATGCAATATATGGTTATTAAACTAAGAAAATCATTCAACAATTTTGACAAAGTTAATAGAAGATAATTACCATTTCACCATAAAAGAGATCCATGAGTTGATCAAATCTTGCCTGATGCCTGAAGAGGAAGGGACGCAAGTAATTCATATATAGGTTCTTTGCCCCCTGCCAAAATAGGACAGCCTTAAACAAATAACAAAATAATACTAAACACAGGATAAATTCAGAAGAATCACTATTACATATTAAACTCTCATTTGTTCTCGCATCTTCCAGAATATCAGTGCAAATTGGTTTTGACTCTTGATTTAACAGTCAAAAATCAAAATAATGCTGAACAAAATGCTTCAACTTGAGCCCCATAACCTACAATCTACATGTCCTCTACTGCACAGAACACTAGCATTCCAGAAAATTAGTTCAAAAGTTTAATACAAATTGTTAGCAGTGTGATTTATCCTCTAATATGGCTCAAATCGGAAAATGGTGAAAAATAAGGTTTATACATGATATGTTTCAAATAATAAATTTGGCAAAACCGGACATAAGAAGAAAGATAGATAGCTTACATCAACGGATGGCAGTTGCATCCACACAAGAAATGCAAACTTCATATGATAGTAGAGAGGACACCTGATAAGATAAAACAATGCACAGAACAACTAAAATAGGCTAATTTCAGAAATTCGATAGTCGATGCGAGTGTTGTCATTACTTATTTTTACTTTCCTTTTATCTTAACTATCAAAAATCAGAGAGGGTTGAGAAGTTAGTTAAAAAAATAAAAATAGTACCAGTAGAGGATCTTATCGGTGAACAACTCAGCAACACTAAATGATCCATAAGCTGCAAGCACAAACCAGATCAGAACAATACATACGATACAATCATCAACATCAACATACCCAGTATATTCCCAACAGGTTGGGGTCTGCGGGGTCAGTTGTACGCAGACCTTACCCTTGTAATTATACAAGGAGGCTGTTTCCATAGCGACCCAAGGTGCGTTGCGTCGTTTGATATATTTTTTTTTCTAGAAACTTCACTAATAGAAGAAGCACTAGAATTTAATTGAGCCATTTTGATCTAGTCCATTATTAACACTATGCCAGGAGAATTGTCAACAATGACTCTTCCAGCTCCATATGCAATGGACATAATACATACGATACAATCTACTTCATAAATGATTAAAAATATCCAAATTCCTTTCTGTATATCACGTGTTAACACCGTATAACTCAATTCTACAAATTCCAATGTCCTTTGAAAAGATGATTTTAACTAGAGATTGTGAATAACTGAATATCACAGTAGATATATTCTGATACCCAAAACGCTACACCGACAGTTATTAAAGCTACAGAAGGCTTTCGAAAACATCACTCACCAGCCCAATACAAAAGCCATTTATGTTGCTCATTTTCATCCTTTGCTTCAATGGCCTTGAACGTAGAATAAACGGGCAAGACAGTCCCCACCGAACAACTTCCCGAAAATAATAATAACAGAACATATGAATAACAAGAACATAGTATCAAATGTTAATTATTATTATCCACCGAAAAAGAGATTAACAAAAGCTCACCATGCTGTGCGGATAACCACATTAGAACCAAGGGGGTAAAGAAGCAATCTCAACCCTACCTGCAAGAGCTGAGGCATAAACACAAGTTCCACATAACAAAATAGGCAAATAACTTCCATTGACAAACAATGGTGCAGAAAAACAATCGAGCAAACAATTCTATAGGCATCCATGGGTTTCAATATACCATTAATCACCATAACCAGGCAAACAGAAACTCAATCAATTGTACTTTGTTCATGTTAAACTGAAAATCGCACAGTATAGCTGCAAATCCCCTTCGTTTCGAGCTACCATCAAGACCTAAACACGAACTAAATAAATTTCTCAATTTCAGGTAATCGCCGATGGCCGAAAGAGAGGGGAATCATGACCATACCTCGCAGGGCAAGTTGGATCCAAACAGAGCCATTAATGGCGGACACAAATCACCAAAGAATTTTGGATTCGCTTAGCAGTCGTCAAGCTCACGAAAAGCAGAAACAGTAGAAGATATTAGCAGCACTATTAGTACGATTTATCTCTTGATAAAAATATTATAAGAAGAATTTTCAAATTTACCAGCAAAAATGGTGTGACGAGTTGCCAATTAATGTTAAACTTTATGCAAATATTGGTCTTAAATTATTTTTTTTATTAATTATGAAACGATTTCACAATTTTTATTTTTTCAAAGTATATATATCTTCATTTTTATTATAAATATCTTATTTCTTTAAAATTATTTATTTATATGATTTAAATTTTAGTGATAGTGTCCATCTACAACCCTAATTATACAAAATCTCCAATTAAGAGTCTAGCAAAAAATTAAGAACAAAGAAAGAAAATATATTTTATATACCTTTTTCTTGCTCGATAGATATGTGATGTGCTCGGAACTTAGATCTGAGTTGAACCGGCTACTGTAAAACCCCGACCTTCTGAGAACCAACTATTGTAAAGTTTCGATTGTCTAAGTTTTTCACATAAATGACGTTAAGTAAAAGATTAGTTAGATGATCGATTTTTTGCAAACAAGTGTCGCTTAAAGGACAAAATCTTCAAACTTTCTTTAGAATTTTTGTTCTTGTCAGAAAATGTTTAGAATGAAAAACGAGAACAAGTTCTAGAAAGACCCATTGTGGGATTTTTACTCTTGTAAGAAAACGATCTTGTTTCACACTTAACTGATACGAATAGTTGATTGAATTAAGTAACCCTTGAACTTGTAATGGGTTTAATCAAATGGCTAGTTTGATAAATTGTTTGTTTATAAATGTTCGGTAAACCACTAATAAGCTACAAAAACGTGAAATGAGTGGTTTACAATTTTATCTTTTAAAAACGGCGAATTTACATGCCTGCTCAAGATAAAAATAAATAATAACACGTGTACAATCATGTGAAAAATATTTGCACATGTACGAAATTATGCAACTTAGTTAGAATAATACAAGCTAATTAAATTGCATAATTATATGGTATATTCACATTTCTCTTCTGTCAATTACAAAAGTAATTAAAAAAGAAAGTATCTTGTCTTACATGATAAGCACTAAACCCAACTGCATTCAGAATTTGACGACCATCATGAACGAGTTGATGCCTACATTGACGGTGGATCCATTGACCTTATCGCGAGTGATTCGCTAGATATGAATGATCCATTTCTTGCGATAGAGCTGGACGGCCTTGCCCTCGCGACCTTTATACGAATCGAACGTTGTACTTGGACCGAAAATCATTGGAGAGAGGAGTGTTCATCAAGATCCGGCAGACGCTCGACGAAGCGGTGAAATGGGCTTCCCGTTTTTTCTCCGAGAGGAAGAGACACGTGAGTTGTATTTCATTTTCCCCCGGCGGGCGTGGAAGAGTGACGCTATGGCCGATAATTTCGCTCGCCAATGATTACTTTCCGTATATGTTCCGTTTATACGCAATATATTTTCAGTATATATTTCGAAATTATTTACATAACATTATGTAACCACAATTGTAATGTTTGGATTTTATTTATACTTGTTATTCATATTTTTTGCTTAATTTTATACCTACATTTTGTACATCATTGATATGTAAAAAATATATTATAAATGCTCTTATGATGTAAAAAAAATTATACATACTACTTTAATATTTAGTTTTTTTTTTCCTCAACAAAAATTAAATTTATGATTGTTTACATCATATAACTATGTGCAAACATATAAATAGATATAAACAATTTACATCCATATAAGTAGGTATACAATGACCAAAACAGACCATGTCGACAATTGTAATAAAAAGAGGTCAAAGCTTAACAAGGAGAATCATAATCTTGTACAAGACGGACATTGATGTTTGTTCTAATCTTTTTATTCAACATCAATACCATTAAAGTTGCTAATATACCGAACATAAACTATAAATAAACATAATGTAAACATTGAAAATAAAGATAATCGAACTATCCGCATGCCATTGCTGCTCACGAGCAGGGATGTCATCCCGTCGCTGAGACTTTGTCGAAATTACCGCCAACAGTCGTTGTCACCTTTTCACGGGCCATGCGAATCGCTGCCGCTCAAAAAAGCGGGGACGACGTTCGTCTTGTCATGTCGCTGGTACCCGAAAAGTCTTGTTCCCACCACCCTCGGCTGAAGCCTATCGTCTGACAGCATCTTGCACTCACGAGCCGACAAGGACCGCCTCTTTGTCCTCTTCAGAGCCAAATTTGCCGGTTGCCGCGCCATTCGATCTGCCGCAGAAGATGACCCAATAAGATGTGTGGGGTGGTTGAAATTCACAACTAGATCTCAATTTCGGTTTGTCTCTTTCGCCACCAAGTGGACTACTATCTACGTTGTGTAAAGAATCGACGTTGGCCATTTTTTTGGGTTACCTTTTTTAGTGGCGAAAGGAAATGGAGAACATATAAAAAAAAAGGGTGAAGATGGAGTGAGGTAGCATATGGATTGAGGAGTTATAATAGAGGTGACATTTAAATGGTTATGGGAAGTTACACAAATTATAATCCAAAAAATAGGAAGTTACCATGTTGGGACCTGTGTCATTATCCTCGATGGGACCAATGTTCATTATCCAAGTTGGGACCTTTTTTATTCTCGTAAGTGAGTTGTATTGTGGTGTTTAGGCTGCCTTTTGAGTTGACCTTTCACTGGATTCAGCTTGATGGTTGCTTGGCTATTTATGATTGTGATCCAGATGTAATTATGTGTTTTTTTTTATAAATTTCTATCGTTTTGTCAAAAACAAAAAAAA